TTTTCTCGACCAGGCTAAACCAATGGATACACCTGATCTAGTATGTGACTTATTAGAGTAGTTGAACACAACTCACCTAGATGTCTCGAACTTCATTATGAAAAGGAGAAATGAAGTTTATCGATCCGACTGAATTGTTTATGTTTGATGTACTGAACTTGTAGTTTAAAACTAGCATTTCAGATTCAATAAAAGTGACATTTAAATTTCTTCTTATAACTTCCTTTTAACTGTGATTCCTTTACTCAGAGAGCGTGGATAAAAATTATGGTCATTCTTAAAACATAAGAAATAGGGGAGATATTTGTCCTGCAGACAGCGTAACCATGCATACAATACTTCGAGATCGAAAGTATTTCTCAAGATGATGCTTAAAAAAGTAAGGGTAAAAACAAAATCAGGGCAATCAAATGTGATTGAAGGCTCAGGGAAAACTCAGATTGTGTTACCAAATGGAATAATATTATCCATACAGAATGCGTTGTACGCTACTCGATCTACTTGAAATTTGTTAAGTTTTAAATATATATGTTTAAATGGATACCACATTGAAACGAAAAGTATAGAAATGTGGAATATCTATGCATTACCTCCAATAATATCCAGAAGCGTATATTGGAGACGTTGCGTGGTTTGTCGAGTGCATTGTATTATACATAAATAAAGACAGTTGAATCACATACTGTCATGAACCAGAAGTTCATTGATTCAAAAGTTTACATGCTTTGGCATGACTGTCTGGGCAACTAATGTTGAATCAATGAACTTTTGGTTGATGACAATATGTAATTTAATTGTCTTTATGTATGTATAATACAATCCACTCGACAAATCAAGTAACGTCTCCAATATACGCTTTTGGGTATCATTGGAGGTAATGTATAGATATTCCACATTTCCTGAACTTTTCGTTTTAATGTGGTATCCATTTAAATGTATGTCTTTAAAACTTAACAAATTTCAAGTAGATCGAGTAGTGTATAACACATAATGTATGGAAAATTTTATTCCATTTGGTAACATAATTTGGGTTTTCCCTGAGCCTTCAATCATATATGATTTCTCTGATATTGTTGTTACCCTTATTTTTGTAAGCATCAATATTAAGAAATACTTTCGATCTCGAAGTATTGTATGCGTGGTTGCGCTGTCTGCAAGATAAATATCTTCGCTATTTCTCATGTTTTGAGAAAGACTATAATTTTTATCCATACTCTCTAAGCAAGGGAATCACAGTTAAAAGCAAGTTATAACAAGAAATTAAAATGTCACTTTTATTGAATCTGAAATGCTAGTTTAAAACTACAAGTTCAGTACATCAAACATAAACGATTTAGTCAGACCGGTAAACTTCATTTCCCCTTTCCACAATGAAGTCCGAGACATCTAGGTGGGTTGTATTAATTTGCCCTGATAAGTCATATACTGGATCAAGTATATCCATTGATTTAGCTTGGTTAAGAAAATTGGTCTCGACACCCTTATTCTTGAGGGAGGTTTGATACAGATCCACAAGATATTTTGGGGTATGACAAGTACGCGTCCAGTGCCCATTGCCACCACACTTATGGCATGCTCCTTCAGAGTTTCTGGGAGCATTGTTCATATGAGCTCTGCCTTTGTAGTGATTTACATTTTTGAAGCTTGGGCCTAAATTATGCCCTACAATCTAGTTGTGAAACCGGACAACATGATTCTTTTATTTCCCGTTCCACCGTCCTCGCCTATGGCCACGTCCTCATTTATCATTATTGCCACAAGAGGATGTGGCGTTCACTTCAATGGAAGCATCGGGAATGATGCAGATCCAGTAGGTTGGGAATGATGATTTTTCAACATGATCTCATTATTTTGTTCAGCAACCAGGAGCACAGATATCAGTTTGTTATATTCAGTGAAATCTCACGCTCTATACTGCTGCTGCAGGAGCACGTTAGAGGTATAAAAGGTGCTGAAAGTCTTTTCTAGCATATCTTCCTCAATGATGGTTTCCCCACAGAGTTTCATCTGGAAGCTAATTCTGAACATCGCAGAATTGTACTCAGCCACTGACTTGAAATCCTGGATCTTTAGGTGAGTCCATTCATAATGAGCTCTTGGAAGGATCACCGTTTTCTGGTGATTGTGTTTGTTTCTTAATGCTTTCTAAAAAGTTAACGGATCTTCAACCGTTATGTACTCGCTTTTTAATCCTTCATCAATGCGACGACGGATAAAGATCATGGCATTTGCCCGATCTTGAGAAAATGCACTGTTTTCCTCCTTGATTGTTTCTGCAAGATTCCCTGCCTCCAGATGGATCTTGATATCCACTACCCAGGTAAGGTAGTTTTTCCAAATAATGTTCAGGGCAACAAAATCAAGTTTTACCAAGTTCGCCATTTTTTTTTCTAAAAGAAAACTGAGATGTGTAAGAACTTGTAATAATATGTAATATGAGAGATATAGTGTTAGAACTTCTGGTTCTTAGAAATTCTTCATTTTGATCTTCAGGTCAAAATGATAAGCACTCAAAACTTCTGGCTCGAGATTTACATGATAAATAAGGAGGACGATTGTACCGCACCATTCTCATAACATAGGATGAGTGATTATTCTGCACCAGTGTAGTAGCAGGAAAATTGAAATACGCGGAGCAAGTTAGACGATTATACCGCAACACTTAAAATTTGCAGTAAAATTACATATGCGATTCAAGATAGGCGATGATACCGCACCATCTTGGATTGCAATAAGATCAAATTTGTAGTTCAAGATGGGCGATTGTACCGCACAGTCTTGGATTGCAGTAAAATTAACATAAATAAACACTGGATTAGTAATCAAAATCTACACCAAACAAAATCAAAGATATATGTAATTGTTAGGTTAAGAACTAAAAACATACATGATGCAAACAGTTCTTCACGAGGGTATACCCAGCAGTTGAGGCAGAGGAAGAAGATGAACGGTAAAATCCTTAGAGGAAACATTTTTCGTTCAGCAAAAAGGAATGATTTCTTTGGCGAAGTGAAATGAGAAATGGTTATATTTAGAGAGTCGTGCTGATAACGTGTTATAAATAGGTCAAAGTTCGAGAGATAACATTTACTAGTGACAGGAGCGAAGTATGTATAAAATATTACACTGTAACTATAGCACAAGAGGATGACAAATAAAAGAGGTAGGAATAGATACTGATGTTATTGATCTTTCATTTCTTACTTTGTATCTTTTGATAGCAGTCCGAGTACTCTATTTATAAAGTAACTCCATACGAACATTTTCTTACATTTTTAAATTTATAGCATATGACTTTGATAATATGATCACCTTTATTTCCAAAGTCTACATCACTTTGTGTGGGTATTGAAAAAACTTATGTGGGCATTCATTAAACTGCCAACGGTTTCAACTGCTAATGTTTTCAACATCCTTTTCATTTTATTATATTGATGGATAATATTGGAATGTTAAACTTTACGGCTTTCCTTTCCAAGTTTTGATGAATTTAGGCCTGGTTTGGTACTGAGGTGATTCTGAAAAAAGCTGGTATCAAAAAAAGCTGGGAGCTGTTTTTGTGTTTGGTAAACATTCAGCTTCAGCTTTTTTTCACAGTTTTGGATGAAAAAAAGCCAAAAACAAGAAGCTGCAAAACCCAGCTTTGAAAAACTGGCTTTTTTTCACATCTGTTTTACATAAAAGTTTACCAAACACTATAATACTGTTTTTTTTTTCAAAAGCACTTTTACAAAAAAGTTTACCAAACACTTTGCTGCTTTATTTCACAGCTGCTTATTCTCACAGCACAGCAGAAGCAGTTTTTTTTCAAAGCACAGCAATACCAAACCAGCCCTTAGTCGTTTACATGGTAGATCATTTATGGAGACATATCTACCAACATTTAAGGAGAAGAATCCTCGGCTGGAGGTGATTACTGAACTCGTCCGTGGTCAGCATCCGCATTTGAGGAGCTTATACAGTAAGTCTCTCTCTATCTCATTGCCTCTCTCGAGCAACCGAACACACAGTCACTTCCATTCATGGTCACTGCATGATACCTTAAATTTTCTTGAGGGTTTCCTTTGTCCATGCACAGAGAACAAAAATGAAAAGGTGGTATGCGTGAAGAATATGGATCCAGAAGAGGTTCTTCAGTATGCAAACAGACTAAGAAACCAACTGGGGAGAAAAGTTGTGAAACTGAAGACTAGACATCTAACCAAACATCCTAGCGTGCAAGGTACGTGGACAACAGACGTGAAGTTTTGAGGCACAATAAACAATTTGCACTGCAAGCAGTTTGTTCCGGTGTGTTTTTGAGCAGTTTAATTTAGCAAGCCAAAAATACAGCTTTTCAGGTTACTGGTTTGTGATGTAATGTAGCTTCTAGTTTGTGGGCTATAGTTCCAAATTTGCGGTCGAGTCGGTTGTTTACCTTAGCAGTTTGTTTACTATGAGTAGGGTATTATGTTTCTCGTCGAATAACTTAACCTCAGAAGATGCTCTATGAGATTATGATATTCTCAATTGGATACTTAGAAAACAAACTAGATTATCTACAGATCCTACACTTTATTTCGTCTCACTTTACACTTTGTACTCTTCTTTTGCGATCCAGTTTATCCTATTTCATCAACTGAGGTTAGACCTGTCCTCTTCTTCTATTCTGTCAGTGTCAATTGAGGTTTGAGAAGTGTTGGCTTCGTTAAAGTGGCAAGGACGCTTCGGTTTTATCAATAGTGAATAGGGGATATGCTATATACACATCTTTTTTTACTCTCCACATATTCTCTCAATTTTCGGCATCAGATCAAAAGACAAAATAACAAGTGGTATGTGAAAAGTGAAAAAATGTATGTGGATAGCACATCCCAGTGAATATAAGAACACGTTAAGAAATTGTACTACTTTTCTTCAATGTTAGGTGGCATTGAGTGATATGAAAAATGAACAGTTGAAATTAAAAATAGAAGACTTAACAGTTGTAAAAATCAAATCTAACAGCTAAAACACATGAAACACTAAAGTGCTACGTAGCATTGAAGACGGACCCGAAATGGTAAGTTGAATTCTACTTGGGAGGTGGCGAAACATAATGTTACAAACTTGGTAAAACAGACATAAAAATTACCTTTCTTTCCTATATTTTGAGCAAAAAAACATGATATGAGCACATATGCTCATACTTGCAGATGTTCTATGACGAACTCGGAAATTTTGTGGGCAACAAACGAAGAATCCCTCTTAAGGAACAAATCCGCACTCAGAACTGAGTAAGGACGGTAACTGTAAAATCCACCCCTCAAGCCTGTCCCCAGTTCTATGTAAACTGATCCTGTTGGACGCTTCATGGGGACCGCTCGGTCAGATATCCTGCGCTTAATCAAGCGCCACTGGTAGCCTCACCAGCCTTTTTCTTCTCCCTTTTCTTCTTGTTTCGCAATGCATTCTTGCTCAACGTCCTTCATTAAATTAGCACGAACAAGCATTTCATAAGAATATGAAAATCTAAGTCATTAAGGAAAGAGGAAACAAGAGAAATTATGTAAGTACTTACTCCGTAGGGCTCTCTCCAAACAGCTGCCGGTAAAAAAATCATCGAAGCCATCAGCATCACATCAAGCAAATGGTTCATTACGACAAAAATTAATAAAGCAATACAAATAGAAACCAACTTAGACAGATAGAAACCAATACAAGTCATGTATACCTGAGCCTGAACAGCAGCAGCAGCCTTAGCATGTGGGGGCCGATATGCAGCCGGCTTTTGTGCAGGAGGGTTGCTAGTGCTAGCTTTTACAGAAGTTTGAGAATTTTTTGACCTTTCTCCTGAAAAATTTATCCAAGTTTTTCAGCGAACCACAAAACATACAGGTAAAATTCAAATCCACAATCAACTAAGTTTGAGAACTCCACACAAAAGCAACCTTGAGGTTTCGTTTCTACAACTTTTAATGACTCAATGGACTTGACAAGTTCGGCAATGTCACCGAATCTGTCTGGTGACTCTGGTTTCCAATCAGCCTGAACAAATAGTTGGTGCCATGAAAGAAAAGAAAAGGTCAGTCAGTTGTGAGCAAAATAACAGAGTCGTATTTTAAGAGAACCCCCAATGGAGGCTCGATCCTCCTTGAGGCTACCAAATTTATAGACCAAGTAGGAAAATTCATCCCAAATGGGGGTGCAAAACTCACCTGGTACAACTTGTCAAACATCTTCTTGAAGAATAATGATCCGTTGTAGTGGAAAATCTTAATCCTTCAATGCAGAGAAAAAGAATATGAAGTGCTTGACTGTTAAATAAGATTCTTTGAAGTTGAAACAGCAGACTAAGTATGCAATCGAACGGGCACGAAAGAATGTGCGTGCACTGCCATAATATGCAAGAGATGAGTAAATATGCTCAGTCTGCCCAAGCCGCTTTCTCAAATGAAACATTTCAAATTGATACAAAAGTGAGAATAGACTTCTTTTTTTTCGGTCGGGAAGCTGATGGTAGTCTATAACATAAAGATGAACAAATTTTGTGCCCATAGATAGAAGAGTATGGTATGATAATCACAACTTGGAAATTGATAATCTGTTAAAACATAAGTGAAATTCTTGATAGGCAAATGGTAGAACTGTTTTAGTGCAGTTCAATGAAGTGCAGTACTGTATACTTGGCCCTCCTTCAAACCCCAAAAATCCACGTAACAGTAAACATACCCATTGTCAACTTGTAGTCTGGGAGCTGTTGTTGCAGTCATGAAATAATGTCCATCTGGAGACCATTCGCTTGTCACAGACAGTTCAGCTCTAGTTGTCCCAAGCTGTTTTTTCTCTATATAGTCCCAAAATGCCTGTGAGGTAAACAAAAGACAAATCGACTTGAGAAATCATAATGAACATATGATATCTTTATCATCTTTGGCAGGCCAGAAAAAGGTGAAACCCAGTAAAAATAACATACGATGAATTTCTTGCATAAAATGTAAATATGGTGAGGAGGACTGCTATATCAAAAGTTCAAAACAGCAAACAGTACTAAATCAATAACATACCATATCACCGGGTAAGTTACCAAAGCCTGCCAAACATAGAACTGCAAACCAGATAATTAAGGCCACAAATATAGACTCTCAGTTTTGTCTCCTCTGAGAAAGAAATATAATTATCTTACGTTATACCGCATTACTTATTATATTCTTATGATATGCTTCCAGGTTCTTGGTCACCTTTTCCACCCTTTCATTCGCTAGTTATTTTCCATGTGTCTACAAATTACTGAACTTACTCAAAACTAGCATATTACTAATGTTCTCAAGAAGTAAGTCACAATTGTCGAGGATACATTTTCCCTTTGGATTCCATCGGATAGTATTGTATGGGCCTGTTCCAAGCTCAAGAAGAGGATTGCACTTCTTGTCAAACACGGTAGCTTTTGCAGGCATGACTAATACCGTTGAAGGAACAAACAAACTCCGAGCATTTAAAAAAAGATTACAGTACTGGTAAGCTGAAAATAATAAACAAAATTACAATAAAAATGCACATAGAAATTAGCATTCAAACCCGAACAAAAGGAAATATGGCACTAAACCTTCTTGCTATTGCAATAATTCTAAATAACCAGTATAGGTTGAATGAAATGTTTTTCAGAAAACGGGATGCACAAGTAGAGCCCCTACTCAAAATATCTGCTAACATGTCCAGATAATGTTGATCTATCAAGAATAATTTAAAACCTAGAGTGAAATTCACCTCAATATTCTGATGCTTAGTTTCATCACAAACAATATGTATTAAACATTTTGAGTCTTCAATATATTCCTGTTAAGTTGTCTCTTCGAGACAACGAAAAGGGAAATAAAAGGATACAGCCATAAACTACAGCAAATTCTGATCCAGAATGTGACCACTGAACATCATGAACAGGCCCTTCTTTACCTGCCAAATATTTGAGGATAATTACGCTGCAGGCAGTTAAATACTAATTTTAATTTACTATTGAAGTTGGAACATACGAAGAGGTACAAGTCCTTCATGGCTCCCATCTGTTGTTAAGTAATTGAGCTTTGATTCCCCATAGTAACTCTGATTGGTTTTATCAACATCTGACTGCACCAAAACTAAAAGCCCAGTTGAGCCATTGTTCCAGTTCAGTTGTACTGTTGAACATCGGAAGAAACTCCGTCGAGCAACAGGTTGACTCTGTGGATCTTTTCCACAAGCAAATATCTGGATACTGGCAGGAATCCCCTACATAAAGAAAGCTGAACTTAAAAGCTGAACCAAAAAACGAAGAATGAAAAAGTATAGGATATTAATGTCAGATATCAGCCATATTGCTATGTATACAAAAGTTGAGACTTGAGACTATATCAGCTGCTAAATGAATGATATTGCGTCCATTGATGTGACAAATGTCACAAATCGAAGACACCGCATAGTTTCACAGTTTCTTGATACTGCACCCTTCCATGTTTGATATGCCAAAAAGTTAAATACTCTGAATTGAAAGTAGTCCCTACAATGAAGTTATCGACCAAAGGGCACGAGTTTCTACCTTGGATTCTGGAACAAAAGCTGCCACATGGGAGCCGGGTGCCTTAGAAAGCTCAAGAGCAGCCACTCCAGGAACTCTTAGCCGATTTATAAATGCTTTAGAGAAATCCCCAACATCAAAAAATTGTATCTCATTTGTCGCCAGTCGACAAGCAACTGCTTCATCAGAGCTGAATTTAATTGAGGGCCTGAAGAGCATGGACTTTTACAATTAACACACATTTCAAATGACAGCAAAAAGACATATACACCTAATTCTATAACATGAATTATTAGACAATGTAAAACAATGAGCACCACACCATGTAGCTTTTGTCATGTTCTTTTGGTGTTGATGATAAACGGAATCACCAGTGTCCGTCCTCCATAAGGTGACATTCTTGTCCTGCGGGGTTGAGAATTTTTGGAACGTTTGAAGATAAGTTCCACGTGGGGACAAGGCAGCTGCAAGAACATTTGGGATTTGGAAAGATCTGATCTCCCTGCAGCTGGTACAGTCATAAATGCTAATCACTGAATCAGATTTTATCACCATGAGAGTCGATCCATCTTCACTGAATTTGGTACTTGTGCAAGAAACATTTTCAAGCTTGACACCGGGTTGCCCATTGCTAAACGGGGGCCCATTCCAGAGTGAGAATCCTTCGGGTCCTCGAACTGTGATAGAGGTAAAAGGAAAATAAGACATACAGCACACAGCCAGCTACCTAGTACTAAACAAAACATATGATTTCATTACCTAAGATATCCAAAAGCGGGGCAGGTTCCGCAGTTGCCATAGCAAGCTGACAGATGTATATGTCAAAGAGAGATTACCCTGTTGATGAAAGTTTCAAACAAGTGGTTTACGGGTTAGATATATACAGAACAATCTTGGCTTTTTAGGTCAATGGAAGAATCCTGCTTAAATAATATAATTCTGCTAGCAATGGATAGCCCTGGTGATTAGGGTCTTCCTCTTCAACCCAGTGCGTCGCGGAATCAAACACTACCCCACCCCAGAACCCCACGAACCTTTAGCGTAGCTTAAAATAGTAACATCACTTGTAAAAGCGAAAATTATATATCTGTTCCAAATGAATAAAAACCAAACGGATAAATTCCAAATCTCGAATTAAATCTCCTTTCTAAATGTGATGCTACTCTCTACATTGTTCTTGTCCTCTAATTTAGCTCAGTCTATCAAAAACGAAAACGAAAACTTCTTAAGAAATCAACCAAACGCTAGGAAACCGAAAGCGCTACTATTACATCATTTCTCTGCAACCAAACGGCGCCTAATTCATCTTCAAAATCTAGGGTTTATACATCGATATATATATATATATAGGGTTTATACATCGATTTATATATGTATTTATATTCCATTAACGAAATCAAAATAAGAAACTAGAACAACAGAAATTCACCTGCTATTGCTGCCGGGAAGAGACTAGAAGAGAAGCCACCAATTCCAAACACCTAAACCCAGCAACCCAGCAAACACACAGTTAAACAGTCGTACAGATACACAAAACTTACATTTTTGGGGTGGGGTGGCAAACATTTGGGCTTTTCCTTTTAGGCTTTCAAATTTTATTTGGGCCTCATAAACTATTACTTAGTAGGCCATAATGTGTTAAGCGTTAAAATAGTCACTGTGTTTTATTCGGTTAATTTAGTTCTCGTATTTTCAATTTGATCAAATTAGTCTTTATGTTTACATTTGTTAGTCAATTTAATACATTTCGTTAAAAGATGGTTAAAATTGACATGTCATAAATTGCATAGTACTCAAGTGAATTGACCAAAGCATCAATTTAAGCATATTTTTAAGCGGTGAGCGTTATCAAGACTTTGAGCATAGGAGCAAAAATATATTCTTTTTACATACACATTTCATGGGGCTTCTGACTCAGTTTTTACGTACCATTTGATTCGAGTTCAAAAATATGTTACCACCTCATGTGATCCAAAGTGGCTTAAAAAAAAGAACAGTATGTCATTATTATTATTTGTCAAAGTATGTCATTAATATGGGATAGGTCCTATATTTAAATACAAAAAAAAAAAAAAAATGATGAGATAGTGGACAAATATTTTAATTCTTTAAAATGGGCCGGACTGTGGAAATTACATCCCAACCGACCGTAGATCCTAAAACCCTTCAACCCGCGTATTATCCAAACTGCGACCCGAAAAGCTTCATCTGAAGAAGAAGGGTTGAGAGGGAAGGAGGCAGTGACCTCTCCTCCTTTGTGTTCCTCCTCTATCACAATTTACAACTCTACGCCGCAAGGTACGATATCTTCCTCTCAGCTTTTTGTGTTCATGGCGATTAATGTCATAAATTTTGCTCTCTGATTTTTCCTGTTTTCGAATGTAATTTGAAAGTCTTCAAAATTTTCAAATAAATTCTTTTATTTTTTGGTGAATTCATGTGTTTCCAAATTTTTTTGCTTGGAGTTTCAGAACCCATAAAACCCGTTTCTTTCCCTGAATTTTTAGGACCCTTTGCGGTTTTCTGTCATAATTTGGGATTTATTTCTCATATATATGGTTGTGTTGCTAGAATGGGCATTGGACAATGCAGTGGTTATTTTGAATTTTACTTGGTTTTGTTGCATTGTTTCTGGTTATTATGTAATTGGGCATGTCATGCTATCCGGTTCTTAAATTAGTATTCGAATTTTTCGATAAATTCATATAAGCTAATTGTTCGATGAAACTTGAAGAATGTTAGTTTAGGTGTTTGAAGCTTCATGTGAGAGTTACAAGGCACCCGGAGGTTATTTTCCGAGGATGAACACCGTTCAGATAACATCCTGCCAACCTAGCAACTATTTCAGGAACCCATCTCAATCTCTTCGTCTCTCTTCTAATCTGTATTTTCTTCCAAACCGAGCTAAATGTCTCATTGGAGCTTCATTGAAACCAAAACGTAATGCACGAATTCAGCAACAATGCATGGCCGTACTGAAGAACCAGCAGTGCGGGGTTGTATCTAAGTACCACCGATCTGCACCTGTTTGCTTATTGGGTGGCAAGGGAAAGAATGAAAGTGGTGATGAGGTAAGAGACCTTTCTGCAGGTTGCTATAAAATACTTGAGTTATTTATGCTATGGAAATTTCATGTGATTGACTGACTGTCTTAAAGTTTCTGCCTTTCCATATTGATGTTGATTCACATGTCCCCTAGGAACTTTCTGATCTGCCCCAACTAAATTTTTGAGATTCCGGTGCTTTCTCATAGAGATTGATGTATTGTTCTGCTTGGGGTCAATTTTGTGCCTTTCAGATGCCTTATTGAATGCAAGCAGTTTGTGCATGATTAGTCTATTCTTACATGACTTCTGGGATTAAACAATAAACGTGATATTTTGAACTTGAAAGACGTATATATGTATTCTAAGTTCAGGGAACAGTGATGGCATTTATTCTTGAAATTTGCAAGTACTTTGATGCATGACTCTTGATTGTCTCTCTATATTCAACCCCCTTTGAGTCTTCAAGTAAACAAACATATAGACTCAACAAGGTCAGAGACACAAATTTTTGTCTGCTACTTGCTCTTTTTATGGCTATGAGTAAAAAGAAAAATCCTACATTTTCCTCTTATGTATCCTGGTTGTCGTTGTGACGTTTCTTCCTTGGGTTTGAGATTATGCTTTTTATGCATTTTTATTGAATTTATCATGATTTTTTCGTTTTTTCCCTACTCAAAGTCAAGTTTATAGAGTAACTGGCGTGTGGGCATGGAGGGGATGAATTATTATTTATTTTGTGGAATGTATATGAAAATATGGGCCATAATTATAAAAGAAGAAGAGTTGAGAAGCCATGCTCATTAACTTCTGCAAGTATGCAAATGCATCCCAGTGATACTTTTCTCTCACTGCACTTCTTAATGCAAACAGGGTTCCCCCTGGAAGGCTCTTGAGAAAGCACTGGGTAATTTCAAAAAGGAAGGGTCAATAGAGGATGTGCTACGTCATCAGATTGAAAAGAATGAATTCTTTGAAGCGAAAGGTGGGGGCAGAGGTGGCAAAGGAAGTGGCGGCGGCGGCGGCGGTGATGGTTTAGGTGGCTCTGGTGGATCAGAGGGTGAAGGCTTTTCTGGAATCATGGATGAAACACTGCAAGTGGTTCTAGCAACTGTTGGTTTTATTTTTCTGGTAATAATCCCGCACTTTTGCTGTTTCTTGATCAGGCGTTGTGTTTATGTCTTGTGTTTTACCATTTTACCCTTACCAATAAATTATCTTCTTCTAACTGTTTTTTAGCAAAGGATGATATAGGATTTTCAAGAAGCAATGATGTCATTGAATATTCGAGTATAACAGTTATGATTTCTGTTTTAATTTCTTCAACGTGATGGTTTGAATAATGTGCTTTAGTTAGGACTTAAGAGGTTCAAGTTGATGCCCATGGCAAGACATTTCTCAGGGCCTTTACACTTTCACCTCTTTTTGTTGATTTAGGGTGGGAAATGGGAAAACAATGAAGCTTTAGGGAAAGTGCTGGGTGGGGGAAACAGCTTCTGTAACCGTTTTTTTTTCACTCGTGCTTTCGATGCAACATTGTGTATAAGTCCATCCGTCTAATCCTCTGACTGTTAACAGAATTGTTGGATTGTTTTCATAAAGTTGTTGGTTTGTTTAGACAATGTTTTACTGGTTCCCTCTCATGCATTTCGAAGTTTTTAGTACCTTTTAAAATACTAGTCTTAGGTTCCATTATTGTTCGTTGGAGGATGAATACTTGTAATATGGTTTAGAGGAGATGGTTGTCTTGGCGCCTTTGATTCCATAGGTGTATGTGTAATCGTTTTCTGCTTTATTGGTCATTGCTCTGTCCTTGTGGTAGAGAGAGACAGAATGGTATGGTGCAGGGATGATGCTGTGATGGAAGTTTTTTGGCGTTGTGGATGGAAACGAATATGATGATTTTTTGCGGGAGCTAGCGGGTGACGAGGTGGATCACTTGTGGGATAGGGTTAGATTTAGAGTGTCGGTGTCTTCAGCGTTCAGAGATAATTCTTGTCAGGCTATTTTATTTTTCCAACTGGAGTGCTTCTGTGCAAAGCCTATTAATTCTAATATATGCAGCAAAAGCTAAGATAATTCTTTTGCCCAATATGTGTTTACATTTCAAACTCGAACGGTTTTCTTGCAGTATGTTTACATCATCAGTGGTGAGGAGATTACTCGGCTAGCAAAGGACTACATCAAGTTTGTGTTTTCAGGGTCCAAGAGTATCCGTTTGACGCGTGCAATGCAAAAGTGGGGAAGTTTCTTCCGCACGTTGACTGAGAAGAAGGAATATGATAAGTTCTGGTTGGAGAAGGCCATTCTCACTACTCCAACTGCATATGATACGCCTGAAAAGTACCGTAATCTTCTTAGATCTAATTTGGAACCAGATTCGGATGATGATGACGATGAATAATCCAATTCACATTGTATAAACCCTTTCCTTCGACGTTGTTTCATTTCCCGTTTATTTCGGAGGATTGTATCATTTTCCTGTTTATAGCTTTTGACAGTTGAGATCCTAAAACAATAGAGCTGTAGCTTTTACTGCAAAACCTGCATTTACCAAGCATTCCTAATACAATGCAGCAAGATTTTGAACATACTCTCCTCCGTCGTCGTTCAATCAAGCTTGAAAATCAGCTCGGACTGTTTGATTTACGCAAGTTATTGCAGCGGTACAGGTTATTGCCAATAACCCACAAGATGTTTCAATTTCAACGCAAAATCTTGCATCTTTCAATCACCGACACGAAAAAAGCTGTTTCCTCCATGAACACTAACGACTTCCCATTTGAACACATTGCTGTTTGGGTGCCAGTAAGGAAATAAGAAGATGAAATTTGGCTGTCTATTTTGTTTGAAGTAACAACATTGTTCTGAATCATTTGTCACCGACCAGAGTCCCGAAGAATGGAAGAGGAAGCCTTCCAGATTCTCTCGTCCATGAGTGACGAGCTCTGCAACACCACATTGTGGTCCACTGCTTCAGCTACTACCAAAAGCACTTCCATCAAAAGCACTTTTCATATTTTTAAACACTTCCAAACACACCAGGATGGATAAGAGATATGAGGAAGACACGTTTAAAAGAAGTCGTACAAAATGAAAATTAAAAACCAAAAACCCGAAATAAGCTGCTATAACCATCATGTGTGCATTTTTTGGCTAAATTGTAGAAATTTCATGCCACAATCTGCTCTACCATCCAACAAGATTAAAACAAAAGATTATATATCTGCAAAAATCTTCCTTCTGATTCATCCAAAATCATGAGAACCATATCCAGCAGATTACAGTTTGCGCTCAATTCCTATAAGCACAAAAAATTGGGAAATTTTCTTTTTCCTTTTTTTCCGATTCTAAATCCTCGAAAAAAAAGTTGAAATCGAAACATAAGCAAAAAATTAATTCCAGTTTCGCACGGGGCTGTACAGAAAAGGACTCCTTCAAACTCTCTTGGGTTTCTTTACACCTCCTTTCTTATCTGATTCTGCAGCCTTCTTCTTTTCCTTCCTCTCCCGCTTCTTTAAAGCTGTCATGTGAGCCTTTAGGACAGTTGCATATGATGATTGGAAGCGCTGGTGTTCCTTCGGGCCAACCTTCTCAATTTTATTCCAATTAAAAAACGTTAGCCAATTACGCTAACATACAAACCCAAAATCAAGAACCATCGTCTTCTGGATTTATGCTTTAGTTAGCATGTGCGTTTAGTTTCATACCACTGTATGTTTTATTAATTTTAGCAAAATCATGTTTCTCACCAAATGAAGAAGAACCCAGCTTATAATTACAAAAATACAGCAATTAACAGTCACCGCTTTAAGGATATGGAGATTTATGTGTAGTAGGAAGAGTAATTAACACTTTAAGGAGGCAATTAACAGCTGACACTTCAGGCAATTAACAAAAAAGTATACCACTATTGGTATGGTATTGCATGTTTAGAATGGCTTTTACCATTTGTTTTACTCTTAGCATCAGGACTCAACTATTGCTTTACTGGAAAATAAGCAAAATCAGCAAGACAACAACGATACATCAAAAGCTATAACAGCAAAGAACAAGCGCACGCAAAATGCTTCACAACTCAGAACATATAGCTCACAGTCGTTTCCACCATTAGCTAATAAAAATAACTTCCCTGCCAATGCTGAAGAACCTATTACACTGATTTTTAGAGGACTTGTGTGTTTAAGGCTTAGTGCTGTGAAAAAATAAATATAGGATGTTTTACTATGGTAATAAAACAAAACCAAAACCCCCCAAGGGCTTAGACACACGCACACACACGCAATGGGAATCTAAGGGCAATTTGTCTCAGTTTTAAATCAAATTGTGGTTCATGTTTCATGAAATACGTGGAAAACGTATGACCAAGGGGCAAAAATACATACCGAAGTAGAAATTGTCTTATTCCCAAGTGTTGCACGAATAAGGCATCGGTAATCAATTTCTTCACCGGCAGTTTTCATTTTATTCCTCTGCACCTTAGACTTCATGGATGCTGAATACACACAAGATTGAAAAATACTCAACACATTGTAATAAAACAACCCAAATATCCACAAATCCGACTAAAAAGAAAAAGGAAACTTGTGCACATACATCGTTTAAAGGTAACCCAAACGGAACCTTTCTCGGTGCTTTTCTCGAACATGCTAGTAAGTTCGTTAAGAAACGGATCCGGCTGTAAAAGAACCTACAACAAGAACAAAGAAACCGTATCCCGAATAATCTCTTCAGTCAAAATACAAGACATAACCACACAAAAAATGAATCAACCGAACAAAATAGCATCAGGCAGGGAATGCACAATCATCACCATCAGATTATGCCCTTCTTACAGATTTCACAAACAAATCATGGTTTCTGCATATGGGGTTCGTTGACTCGATTCGGATCAACAACTTTATTAATATTTAAATTAACCAACAAAAAACCCAGTTAACATACAACAAATTGTTTGAGTAGATGAATCCAAACACAAGAAAACTAGAAAATTTGAAGGAAACCCATGTGAGTAGATGAATCCACAAATTTATATACAATCGAAGCGAAAGAGAAAGAGAAAGAGAAATTGAAGATACGATACCATTGTTTGATTGCGGAGAAGAATGCCTCTTATTACTTCGATGCGATCGGGGGAGGGATGCTTAAACCCTAGAAAATCAATATGTCAAGTGTATTTAACGATCGGAGAAGCGTCTGAGCTGCGAGGAGCTGTGTATATATATTGGGGTAACCCCGCAAGACAGCTTTTAATAAACCGACAAACTTAGGCAATGGGCTTCTCTCGCGCTAAATTTACTCTTCTCTTTGGCCCAAAATTTATTTTCTTCGGCCAGCATCTGGTATGGCTACGGACCAAAAATCTGAGCACTAGGATGCTTAAATTCTTTTTTGGGATAATATGTGGCCAGGAGGATTCTCATATAATCCTAGGATTCTTCAATCACATATGTTCATCATATATCGTACCATAAAAAGTTAGGGGCTTTTGGATTTAGGTCCAAAAACATAGGTTGTTTTTGGGACTGAGTCCAGTTATCCAATTACATATTTTGATATCAATTTTGCCTCTTCAGATAAAAATATTTAAATTCTTTAATTTTTTATCATTTATTCAGTTTTTAAATTTTGAATATTTAAATACTCAAACTAAAATATTATCTAGTAACTACCTACTATTTATGAAGAAAACAAAAGCGATATAATTTAGTAACTACCTACCTATTGTATAGGAAGAAAAATGCTTTATACCTACAAAGTAGATATAATCTACCTGCAAAACAAAAATAAACTACCTATTGTATTGGAAGAAAAATGCTGGGAACCTATAGAAATATAAATATGATATAATATACCTCCATTAAATGAACGAATTTGGAGGGAAGAACACAAAAATATCATCCATGAAAAGAAGAGACAAAAAAGAGGAGGATTGATAGAGGGAATTGTTTGGAAGAAGGAAAAAATGAGGGATGAAACGGATTGGGGGTTGAGGTGATTATGTGGCTATAACTAATCCTACAATTAAGGGATTAGTTAAACGACAAATAATCCTATAATTAAAAAATTTTGTGTATTTACAACAATTCGTAAGCCTAAGGGGTAAATATGGAACAAACCACAAATAAACATACGTAGAATCTCAATTATTGGACCTATTTCAATGAAGTGGACTAATTCTACTAATGACTCACAAAATTGGATCTATATTAAGTTATCCCAAAAAATTATTATAATATTTTTATTTAAAATTAAATATAAACAGTACATGACAAAAACTGGCCGCACGATATACGATGAACAGATGTAATTGGAGGATCCGGAAATCCTCACAAAGAGGATCTAGCGAGGATCCTCTCTCAATATGTGGGGTTGCTTAAGAGCTGTTCAATAAAATCAGAAGGTTAATTTTAAAACTTGGTTTTATCTTAGGGAACTTTAACGAAAGGCTCTCGGTACTGTTCATTTTAACGAAAAACCACATTTTTACACTAAAAAATCAATTATGATACTATTCACTTTAACCTTTATTTTGTCCTTATAGTTAAAACTTAAAATTTTCAAGCCCTTTTCATTAATTTTCCTTTTATCTTATTGTATTGAATAATAATTTTAATTTCTCAAGAATTATTATGTCAAACTTGAAAACCAATTAGCAAGGAAAATAATTTTTTTATTGTGGCCAAAGTGAGCTGAAATTCTTTAGCCTTTTCAAATCACACAGGGGATTAGTCCTACTCTTCAGGGTGTGAGGTGTTGGAGTTGTGTGCCCTAACATCCAATTTCGCAATATTAAATATTATGTAACAACTTCATATTAATTAATTAATTAATAATACGGTAAGTTTTATTCGTTCATGATTTTAGGTTTATATTGTGGTGACAATATACTATGAATGAGTCTATCGGGTTTAAGATATGGAAGCAATGTTCTAAACGACGGTTTGGGCAAAAAGACTTGTATTCCATTATCTCTTAGTCCTTAAATAAAGTTACTAGCCGTTTGGAGAGTTAACTGGTCGTTGACTATCCTAAAAGGTCGGTGTACATCACATTAAGGTTAGCATGATCTTGTGCTACGCGTGTTGGACACGTGGTGGATATATAGGTGCTTGTCTACTGAACAAGTTCACCGAATACTAACTACCCAAAAAGTATAAACGTATGGATGCTTACCACATGTCAAACGTTACAAAACTTCATACTATATAATGCAAATAGTTCTCGGACCTGAGGTATCTTAGTATCTTGTGCTTATGGCTATGAACTTTGATTTCACCTTAAAGCCATCACTACTTCGGAGGGCTCGATAGTGCGATACTTGAATTCATTTGTATGACTATGAGATGCATGAATGCAAAATAAGGAATCTATTTCCTTTTGGTTGTTGTTCAATAGAAGGAGATATCCCTCAAAGCCACTTGAAGATCCATATCAAAAAATTTCGACCGAAGTACTTGTTGGTCAAGCTATATTTGTAAAAACTATTTCAACATGAGATGCATCATAGTGATGATCATAGATATCCATATATGATTGAATGTAAATCCTCATATAAATCTTGATAGGGATATGGATGATAGAAGAACCGAATTGGATTGTAACTACAATCAAGGTTCGAATGGTGTCATGATTATATCAGGAATACTTCTATCTGATCTGGCTACCCATGAAATGTTGTTAGGTGCCATTCATGGCTTGTTATTTATTTATTTCAATGCCAACTTCGGTTAGAACCTAAGAGGTCACACACCTATGATAGTACTAACGACGTTATATGGATGATCATAAGATATAATTAATTGTTAATTATATTGTATTAATTATTTGGGCCTATCGGACAATGTTTTAATTAAAAGGGCTTTAGGCTAAGCCAAGTCATAAGCCCAAGTGACCAAATGAAAATGTGTGTGGCGCAAGGAACGGCCCTTCGCGTCAAAACCCTAATAAGGTGCCGCAAGGACAAGTCCCATGTGTTGTCTCATAAACCCTAATGCAAAGATTTTTAGGAAAACTAAAAAAAATTTCAAAAAAAAAAAAAAACTTAGTTTTAATGAAAAAAGATAAATAAAGGTGTAGTGAATAGTACTAGTAAAGATAAAAATGTGAATTTTCGTTAAAAGTGAACAGTATCATGAGTGTTTCGTTCAAACTTCCAAAATTTTTCCCTCAGATAAAAGAGAAAAGGAACCCTAGCTGAAAAGTCCCTATGGTCTACCGCTTAACCTAATTGTTCCAAGTGAGTGGTTCTGCTAGTACAATTGAATCTCTCACTCCATCATTCGTCAATGGTGTATTAATGTAGATACTCTAAGAGGCTCAATACTTGAGAAGCTTAATGTGATCAACCATGAAGAGAAAGAACACAAACACAATGATGATCTTACAAAATGGCACATGCATGGCTGAAGAATCTTGTAAGTAATATTTTTCGTCATGTTTCTTTGTTGCTTTATCGATTATAAGCAACCAGATATAAAATTGGGATAATAAATTGTATGTTATATATTATATTTACTGTTATGTATTTAATTATTCGAATTATATTTATCCCAATAATATACCTAAAAACCCAACATGGGATACCTCAGGCTTTGGTAAAAAAGAAAACAGTATTTCATCCAGTAGTAACATAGAGTTAGTATCCATCTTAACTGTTTGGATCAATTCTTGTGGCTTTTGTTATTGGATGAACTCCTCACTAATAATCAATGCTTGAAGAGGGCGTTGGTTGTTGATCCTTCGTGATTGGAGTCTGCGAGTCTATTGTGCTTGTATTTAGTGATTTTCCATTGTTATTTAGGTATGGCAAAGTCTCAATGTTTCAATTTCATTTTTATAGCCAAGTTAGCCGAATTGAAATTGATTGATAATAATAAAGTTTTTTTTTTTAGTACATCGATATTTTTACACTAAGGGGAGGGGGAGTTTGACTAAGTTACACAATGAGCAGCCTAATTTGGTATCGAATTCGCCATCCACGAGATTCGAACCTAATATCTGTCACTTCCAAGTGAAGATAAATACCATCAAACCGTAGTATTAAGTGACAATAATAAAATTATTATGGTAAATATTATTTACAATGTGACTGTCTACTTTCTGGACCCTATGTAATAAGTTAATAGTTTAATTCCTCATTAATGTGTGTGTAGGTGTTTTTTTTTTGGGTGATCTTCCATAGTAATTGTCACTCTCTCTCTTCCGCACAAAACTTGAGAAAGTCTCCATCTTGCCCGTTTCTTCGTCGGGAAAAAACTCCCTCCACCATTCTCTCCACTGCTATACTCCACTGACTAACTTCACCACGCTCTCCACTGACTAACTTCACCACGCTCTCCACTGTTATCCTCCATTGACTAACTTCACCACGTTATATGCTGGTTCCTCAAATATACCCAGAAGGGACAAAACCCAAGGCCCCGAACCCCCTCTGCCGGCTTCTGAAAGTGCAGCCTAAAAAAGCCAATCACCGAACCTAACAGACTCAAAGGTATTGTTGAAGATCAACACCAGCCCAATTGGTGTTGAATTGTAATCTTGTCTTGGCCCAAGACAAGTGATCCAACCCAAAACCAATGCATGCAAATGCTAGACAATTCTAGCAATCTTTGTCGGCAAAAGTAGTTGGAAAATTCCAGCAATCTAAGTTGGTTATCCACCTAAATATCTAAGCTAAAAAATATACTATTAAGGTAGTGTATGAATATTGCAAAGCCCATGTCAGTGGGCTGATTGTAGAAAAACCTATAACCATCACAAATGTGTGACTATTATGTAATGCCCATGTCGGTGGGCAATTGGAGTCGGCAAAACACCACCTATAAATAGGTGTGTGATGTTGTAAAATTAGTGTAACCAAGGAGAAGTAAGAATCAAGAGAGAGTTAAGTCGGAGTGTGAGTGGTCTAGAGTATGTCTCTAGAAAGAGCGAGTGTCATAGCTTCTAAGAGTGTCCTTAAGAATTTGTGTTGTAATATTTTGCGAGTTAATAGAAGTAATTTGTTTACTTGTGTTGTCTCTCCAACACTTGTGTTAGATTTGTGTACTCTAAGTTTTTCCTCAACAATTGGTATCAGAGTTGTACGATCAGGGACCGTCTCTAGTGAAGCTTTTGAGAATCATGAGAAGTTTAGTACTTCACAAGATTATTGGTTAATCTTGTTTGACTTATCGAAGCTTTGCCGACATGATGGGAGACCTTCAAGTTGTTGGAGGAATCAAGAAGTTGAACAACAAAAATTACAACACATGGGTAATGTGTATGGAATCTTACCTACAAGGCCAAGATCTTTGGGATGTCGTCGGTGGTAATGAAGTTACGCAGCCAAATGAAGACACTAGCGACACTTTGCAGAAGTGGAAGATCAAGGCAAGTAAGGCAATGTTCGCCTTGAAAACCAAAGTTGAAGATGACATGTTGGAGCACATACGGAAGGTCAAGACACCAAAAGAAGCGTGGGACACCTTCGCCACACTCGTTTTAAAGAGGAATGATACAAGACTGCAACTTCTCGAGAATGAGCTATTATCAATGACCCAAAGGGACATGACGATTACCCAGTATTTCCACAAGGTAAAGTCTATTTGCCGCGAACTTTCTGAATTAGATCCTAGTGCTGCTATTGTAGAATCCAGGATAAAAAGAATAATTATCCATGGATTGAGACCCGAATATCGAGGCTTCGTTGCCATTGTACAAGGATGGCCAACCCAACCATCACTTGTTAAGTTTGAGAATTTGCTTGCTGATCAAGAAGCTTTGGCAAAGCAAATGGGAGGGGTCTCGCTAAAAGGTGAAGATGAAGCGCTTTACACCAAAAGTAAATGCAGCTTTAAACAATGTGCTAGTGGTGGATCGAAAAGAAATGGTGACAAGGGAAAAAGTCATCAAGGAAGAGGGAGTTCTCGGCCAGAGGAAGCTCCAAAGTATCACGGCAACCGTGGTTAGTCCCAGAATAATAAAAGGTTTGAGGGCAAGTGCTACAATTGTGGAAAGAAATGCCATATGGCGAAGGATTGCTGGTTCAAAAAGCCCGCAGAAAGTAACGTCACCAATTCAAAGAAGAAAAATGAAGATGATTGGGACACCATAGCATATCTAGCTATGAAGTAAGAATGGAACGCTGAAGCATCGCCTTGGTGGTGCTTAGAAAATGAAGTGTTGCCTAACTCGAGAAAGATTGAAGATACGTTGCAGGAGAAAATAGAAGACCAATATGCCCAAGTCCAATCAAGTCAATAAGAGCCTGAAGATTTGCTTGCTAAAGACAATGTCGAGCAAGAAGTGCTTAACAGTCCTTGGCAAACTGGTGTGTATCAACAACCAGAAGAAGTGAAGTGGAAGTATCAACTCCACGATCACAACTAAGGAGGTCAACGAGAATATCGAAGCCAAATCCCAAATACGTCAATGCAGCCATAAAAGAAAAAGCAACTAAACCTGAGTGGTTCAAAGTTGGGAGAAGAGGTCATTGCAGTGAAATCAAGCTCGAAATCCAGTGCCAAAGCGAAAAGATGTGAAACCCATATCATGCAAATGGGTGTGCAAGAAAAAGCTTCGTCAACTCGGCATGGAGGAAAAAATGAGCTGGTGTTGAGGGGGAATGTTGAAGATCAACACCAACCCAATTGGTGTTGAATGGTATTCTTGTCTTGGCCTAAGACAAGAGATCCAACCCAAAACCAATGCATGCAAATGATTGAAAAATCTAGCAATCTCTGTCGGCAAAAGTAGCTGGAAAATTCCAGCAATCTAAGTTGGTTATCCACCTAAATATCTAAGCTAAAGAATATACTAGATGGTAGTGTATGAATATTACAAAGCCCATGTCGGTGGGCTGATTGTAGAAAAGCCTAGAACCATCACAAATGTGTGACTATTATGTAATGCCCATGTCGGTGGGCAATTGGAGTCGGCAAAACACCACCTATAAATAGGTGTGTGATGTTGTGAAATTAGTGTAACCAAGGAGAATTAAAAATCAAGAGAGGGCTAAGTAGGAGTGTGAGTGGTTTAGAGTGTGTTTCTAGAAAGAGTGAGTGTCATAGCTTCTAAGAGTGTCCTTAAGAATTTGGGTTGTAATATTTTGTGAGTTAATACAAGTAATTTGTTTACTTGTGTTGTCTTTCCAACACTTGTGGTAGAGTTTTGTACTCTCAAGTTTTTCCTCAACAGGTATACCTTGTTTTCCATCCTTATGGTTTGATATAACTAATCTGTTTTAGGGTTTCTGTATCTTCCTTAACACTCGACAGGTTTCCTTTTATTTTAGGGTTTTCGAGTTTTCATAAATTTAGGGGTTCTGACTTCTGATCTGGTTTGAAGGCCTTTCAACTTCTTCTAGATTAAAAATAAGAATTCTACAATCTGCTGATGTATCAAATTCAGTTACCATATTAAGATTTTGCTAGTTTAGTACTTTTTTTTTAGCCATTTCTATTAAATGTTTAAGCATGCGTAGAGCCTGGGGCTATATATTGATGCTCTTTTTTTGGTCAATGGAGTAGAAAAAGGCCATAGTAGTTTGAGGGTGCAAGCTTATTTTGCGCAAGACATTTATTAATTGTTGAACATGACCTTCTAGTTAAACCATCAGAACCTATATCTAGTCCCATGGTCTTGTAACTGGCGAAATCGTTGTTGCAGGGGCGACTTTACTAGCTAACGTTCGAGAGAAGTACACAAAAGTTGTCTTAAGGTTTGTATCAGTGAGTGTTTGCCAGAACTGTTCGTGATTGCAAGCTAGATGATCCTACAACGAATTTTTTTGCTAGGTAAGTACCAACACAGGTTAATGTCGAGAACAAGCATTTTTAAAATATCAGATAAAAACTTTTCAAAAACTAAAAAGAAACAGTTAAAAACAATATTGAAGAACAGTGCTATTATTTAAAAGATCATTACAAGTTGCTAGCTAAGCAATTAATAGAATGCGTTTAACTAGCCATGTTATCATACATCATAGACCCATTATTGTTTAACTTTGTACGAGATAAATTATTAATCTCGTTGACTTATTTCAATTTTCATTGGTTGAAAATCGGATGTTCATCACCTCGAACAATGGCTATGGCCTGTGAAAAATTCCACAAATTATGCACTAGCGGTGTATAGAAATAGAACAGCATTTGATGATAAAATTAGGACAGCATTTGATTCAGTTAATTAAGAAGACACTTAATTACCTCACTTATAGAAAATTTGTGATCTGAATCAACTTTTAGGCAGCGCAACGCTGCGTGAGCCATATTCCGGACCATCCTAGCATCACCAGCAGTTTCCGTCAGTCTGCAGTCCTTCAGTTTGCCAAACTCACCATTTTCTAGAAGTCGCAGTGCCTGTTGTGAAAAATCATTCATCATGCTTGCAAATTTCCACTTCATAACCAGAAGAAAAAGATTATCGTTTTTCTTAACAATTAAATCTACGTCGTTATTGCCACTTAGTACTACGGTCTAGTGGTATTCCTCTTCACTTGTAAGTGAGAGGTCTTAGGTTCAATTCTAGCTAAATGCGAGTTTGAACCACATTATTGCTAACCTATTGTGAGGTTAAGCCCAGTCCCTTCCCCTTAGTGTAGATAATATCGTTTGTTCAAAAACAAAAAAAAAATCTACGTCCTTGCCAATTAATATCCTGCTTCAGAGTTTACTGTCAAATGAGAAAGATGTTACATAATACAGTTCTGAAGATGCAATTCCAGTAAAAGAAGCAATTGTCCTTGAAGTTTTCCAGTCACATTTGAGCTAGAATCACCGGATTTTGGTGACAGACGAGAGATCTTACCCCTTCAATCATGGACTGGTCCTTCCGTTGGTCGTGAACGGGACTTACACACTTTCCAGTAATAAGCTCCAGTAGGAATTTCCCATAATCATGTACGTCGCCAAAATGGAGCTTGTCGTATCTAATTTAAAGTATCAATCAGCAGTATATAAGAATATGGTTTAAAACATATTCTTTACAGTTCTTTCCTATTAAATTAAATGCTTATGCAAGATATATATATATTTATATATATATATAAGAGAATTACGAAGTTCTCTTACTTGGATATCAAATCTTTAGTTGGGGTAATATCACCCTTAAGCCACTCAGCATATACGAAGTTGCAGAGCTTGAAGAACATCAGTCAAAACCAAGTATTCAGTTCTAGGCAATAAGTCGAAGAGCATGATGAGTAGTAAGAAACTCAATTGTGTGCTATACTAACTCATCCAATTTTGTAATTATTGTAAAACCATATTTAAGAGATCAACAAAGTTGAATTTGTTGTATTGGCTCATAACTTTTGACCATGTTTCTGTTCCCTTATGCATATGAAGTATCAGGATGTACTTACCATTGCGGAGTAACCATGAGAAAGAGCAACGCTGGAAGCATGAACATTTTTGTGAACAATAGGTCCATCAACACACTCCTCATGGAGGTAGCGCAAGCTTCCTCCTATTTCTAGAGCGATAGACCACCTCACTCTCCAATCCAGTTTCTCGGCCAACTCATCCCCTACAAACTAATAGAGCTCAGTTTGAATTCTATTCTGTGCAAGAACAAAACTGAAAACAATGTAGTCAGTTTTGGAAGTCAATAAAAAAAAAAAAAAAAAAAAGAAAAAGAAAAAAGAAGAAGAACATCATGCAGCTCATGATAATAGAAGGGATATCGATTTACCAATCAACTATGATAAGATGAATAATCGGTAAGGAATACATGTGTGCGCGTGTGCCTGCGTGTTTTGAGTTCATTGATGTCAAAACTAGCTACTAAAGTTCTTGTAAACCAAGACTTTGGGTAACTAGGATGCATCAGTTAGAGAAGTAGTCGTTCTTACATTGCAAGTTTATTCCAACGGTACCCAAACAAGGTAAGTCGAAAAGCAAGAATGCAGAAGCGCCTGTGCTGCAGTACCCAACAAGATTAACGATGTTGCGGTGGCGCACCCGGGAAAGGATCTCTAGGACTGACCAGAAGCCTTTGTTTGTTATCTTTAAAGAGTTTACTAAGACAGGTGTTTCTTGTAATATTCCCTGATGAACTGTTATGCCATCCACAACTGCTAAAATGTTATCATCAGCAAAGCCATTCGTTATCATTTCAAGTTCGTTGTAAGAAAACACTCGAGGAAAACCACTTGTCCAAGATAGAGGATAGCAACAAGGATTCTGAGGATATGGCGTGGGTGCAGATTTATTTCTCAACTCGTAAGCACTGAAACCTTTACTGTGTTCTTCCCCAAGATGCTCTTTAGAAGCTGCTGAATAATAATTTGGCTTGCTCGGACAAATCTCAGCAGGCTGTGTATCATTCGATAGCATCAAGCTAGCAAAATCTTTTTCCTTTACTACTGCAACATTGCACGTCACATGTCCACGTAGATAAACTTTCCATTTCTTAAAGTGACTGACAACCGAACACAAAATATTTAGAAGAAAAATAGAGGGAGAAGAGAAGAATACCGGGGTACTATATAGAATCCTATGGCGTACCTGTCTAATACGATCCAACGTGTATTAAGGTTATGTGATTCCTTAATTGTCAGTCTCGCCGGACAAAACCCGGCTGCAAATTTCAGCACCAACCTCACCTGCTTATATATATTACACCATAGTTTTTAATTAGCATGGTAACATATTCATAACACTTGCCAAAACTGACATATAAAAAGATAAATAAGAAGAAAACAAAGCAACCTCATTCTTTGAGCACTGACGATATAAAGGCCGGAGGCTACTCTGGTATTGTCCTATTTTTCGCTTTAGTTCTTCTCCAAGCTCGGCAGGATCCACTTCCTCGTGGTCAATGGATTCTAATCTCTTCCCTACGGAGCATAAGCTGGTATATATTAGGCATATTATGGTAGTGAGAAACAAATAAACGAACATAAATGAGATGAATATAAAAAAAACAGAAACTTACATATTCCAGAGACGCCGAAACCCATTCGCAACTTAAACGGAAAGCAAGAGTTCTTGGCATGGTGATCAGTAGTGAAAACTCCTAAAACAAGGAAGATGTCACCAGGTTTAACGACATGCTTGAGAGCCCATTCGATGGCTTCCATGCTTCCTTTAGTCCTATTTGCGTCGACAGCCACTATCACGGCCTCTCTTTGGGATGACTGCAACTGCAAACCGGTCATCTCCCTCTCTTTTTTCATTGTGTTTAGTTACTGTTTAGGGAGAGGTTTTGCTTGTGATCAGCAGTTGGTGTTGCTCTAAATCTGTTTGTCGTCCGATATATGGGATTTGTTTGTTCCGGACTTGGACGATTCCGTCATTGACAAGAAGACCAAGCCGACCAAGGAATTGGTTGACGTCAGTTATTCGTTAGGTTTTATCGATCGTTGGCAATGAGGTTATCAGCATCAACTTATAATTTTTTTTTCATTTTCGAAAGAAGGGAATATTTTTCTTGGCCTAGCTATTTTCTTCTTATAATAAGGCTGGCTGGCTCTCCTTGTTTCTTCTTGTCGTGAGTTTTGTTTGGAACTGATCTCAGTGCTAGCTCTGCTAAAATCTTTGTGTAATACCCCCTCACTTTCAGTACAAATACATTGTTTAGTACATATAAGAAGTGGACACTTTGGTTGTGATCCTTAACTACTAATGTTCTTTGACTAAAATATTTGTGATTTTAGTTCTTGATCGAAGTCCCTGATATAAATGTAATAATGTATTTTTATATAGGTTTATTATATTTTAAAATTAAAAATGAAATTTGTTGTTGTGAATTATACTCTCCAATATTTTTGTATATATACACATGGGTATGTTCATCAAAACTAACCAAAAAATTATTGTTTACCAAAACATGAGTACATTTTTCAAAAAAAAGGGAAAAAAAAAGATACTAGGCTTAATAACATTATTAAATTTCTTCTATTAAACTGGACATGAATACATTCTCAAACCAATGAAATATAATGTACCCATATAAGTTTAAAAAATGGATTAGAGAAAAATTGAATGAATTTTATATAAAAAATGGGTTCAAAAAAGGTACATTTTTCATATAACAAATTAATATATTTTTATTAATGGGAATATATAATTTAATGGGTACAAACTTATTTTAATTTTGTTTTTTATATTTTGGAAATGTTTGAATTGAAAATTAATTAGGAGTTTAATAAAAGTGTGATAGAAACTTTAATCAAAATCTAAAAACTTAAGGTCTTAGCTAATAAAAAATAGAAACTAGAAACCGAATATTAATTTTTCCTAAAATCACCTCCCAGTCCCAATTATAACATGACACCATACTGATAAAGGTTGTCTAGAAAGTTTCCATGTAAAACATTAATTAAAACATGATGTCCTTAAAACTAAATAATAATGTGTGTGTCTGTATATTTTTTTGGGCGATCTACCATAGTAATTGTCATCATCTCTCTACCGCCCAAAACTTGTGAGAGAGAGAGAGAGCGCTCCATTTGCAACTCTCTCCACGGCTCTCCTCCACCAGCTCACCACTCTGTAATCTGTATGTTAGTTCCTCAAATATACCCAGAAGAGACCAGAACCCACTCCGCCGGCCTCTGCAATCTCCCTCTTGCGCCAATCACCAAGCCTAACAGACTCAAAGGCATTGTTTTCCGAAAAAAAAAAAAGAGTTTTTGGGTTAATTCTGTATCTTTCTTAAAATTCGATGGGTTTCCTTTTATTTTAGGGTATTTCAGTTTCTTAAATGTAGGGGGTCTGATCTGGTTTTTGAAGGCCTTTCAACTTCACCTAGATTAAAAATAAGAAATCTACTATCTGCTGATGAATCAAATTCAGTCACTAAGATTTTGCTAGTTTAATACTTATTTAGCCATTTCTATTAATTAAATGTTTAAGCATGCCACTTAGTATTATCAACTAATAGTATCTCTTTATTTGTAAGTGATAGGTCTTGGGTTCGATTATCGTCAAAGACGAATTTAAACCAAATTATTGCTAACCCATTGTGAGGCTAAGCCCTGTGCTTTGTTTGATGCTCTTTTATTTTGTCAGTAGTAGAAACAAGGCCATAGTAGTTTGAGGGTGCAAGCATTTTCGTTTCTGTAAGACATTTATGGTTGAACATGACCTGCTAGTTAAACCATCAGAACCAATCTCTAGTCACATTGCCTTGTAGCTGGCGAAATTGTTTTTGGGGTGACTGTAGTAGCCAACATTCGAAAGAAGTACACAAAAGTTGTTTAAAGGTTTGTGTTGGTGAGTGTTTGCGACAAGCGTTTTTGATTGGAAGCTAGATGATCCGACACCGAATTTTTTGCTAGGGAAGTACCAACACAGGTTAATGTCGAGGACCAACTTTTTTCTAAATTAACAGATAAAAACCTTCGAAAACTAAAAAAGAAGCAGTTAAAAACAAATATTGAAGAACAGTGCCATTATTTAAAAGATCATTACAAGTTGCTAGCTAAGCAATTAGTAGAAAGCGTTTAATTAGCCATGTTATCATACATCATAGACGCATTGTCTAACTTCGGACAAGACAAATTCTTAATCTCACTTATTTCATTTTTCAGTTGTTGAAAATCGCAAGTTCATCACCTCGAACAATGGCTAAGGCCTGTGAAAAATCCCACAAATTCTGCATCAGCAGTGTATAGAAATGGAACTGCATTTGATAATAAAATTAGGACAGCATTTGATTCACTTAATTAAGAAAACACTTAATTACCTCACTTGTAGACAGTTTGTGATCTGAATCAACTTTTAGGCAGCGCAGCGCAGCGTGAGCCATATGCCGGACCATCGTAGCATCACCAGCAGATTCCGTCAATCTGCAATCCATCAGTTTACCGGACTCACCATTTTCTAGAAGTGGCAGTGCCTGTTGTGAAAAATCGTTCATCAGGCTGCAAATTTCTACTTCATAACCAAAAGACAAAGACTATCGTTTTTCTTAACGATTAAATCTACGTCCTTGCCAATTAGTAGCCTGCTTCAGAGTTTTTTGGCAAATGAGAAACATGTTACAGGATACAGTTCTGAAGATGCAATTCCAGTTAAAAGAAGAAATTGTCCTTGAAGTTTTCTAGTCACATTTCAGCTAGAATCACTGGCTTTAGGTTGGACATATGAGAGATCTTACCCATTCGATCATGGGGTCCTTCCCTTGGTCGTGCACGGGACTTACACACTTTCCAGTAATAAGCTCCAGTAGGAATTTCCCATAATCATATACGTCGCCAAAATGGCTCTCGTCGTATCTAATTTAAATTTTCAATCAGTAGCTATTTGAGAATATGGATTAAAACATTCTTTAAAGTTCTTTCCTATTAAATTAAATGCTTATGCAGGACATATGTAAGACATAATAACGAAGTTCTCTTACTTGTATATCAAAGCTTTAGTCGGGGAGAAAATACCATTAAGCCACTCAGCATGTACAAAGTTGCAGAGCTTGAAGAACATCAGTCAAAACCAAGTATTCAGTTATAGGCAATAAGTCGAAGGGCATGATGAGTAGTAAGAAACTCAGTTGTGTGCAATACTAACTCATCAAATTTGTAATTATTGTAAAACCATATTTAAGAGATCAACAAAGTTGAATTCATTGAACAAAGTCTATCGAACTTCCATTTCTTTTTGTTATATTGGCTCATAATTTGACCATTTTTCTGTTCCCATATGCATATGAAGTATCAGGATTACTTACCATTGCGGAGTAACCATAAGATAGAGCAACGCTGGAAGCACGAACATTTTTGTGAACAATTGGTCCATCAATACACTCCTCATGGAGATAGCGTAAGCTTCTGCCTACTTCTAGAGCGATAGACCACCTTGTTCCCCACTCCAATTTCTCAGCCAACTCATCACCTACAAACTGATAGAGCTCAGTTTGAATATTCTATTCTGTGCAAGAACAAAACTGAAAACAATGTAGGTCTGTTTTAGAAGCCGAAAAAAAGAGTAGAACACCAAGCGGCTCGTGATAATAGAAGGGATTTCTATTTATCAATTAACTATTGTAAGATGAATAATCGGTAAGGAATACGTGTGTGCACGTGCGAGTGTGTTTTTGAGTTCATTGACAGCAAAACTAGCTACTAAAGTTCTTGTAAACCAAGACTTTCGAAAACTAGGATGCATCAGTTAGAGAAGTAGTCGTTCTTACATTGCAAGTTCATTTGAACGGTACCCAAACAAGGGAAGTCGAAAAGCAAAAATGCAGAAACGCCTGTACTGCAGTACCCAACAAGGTTCATGATGTTGCGGTGGCGCACCTGGGAAAGGATCTCTAGGATTGTCTGGAAACCTTTGTTTGTTATCTGTAAAGACTTCACTAAAACAGGTGTATCTTGTAATATTCCCTGATGAACTGCCATGCCATCCACGACTGCTTTAATGTTATCATCAGCAAAGCCGTTCGTTATCACTTCAAGTTCGTTGTAAGAAAACACTCGAGGAAAACCACTTCTCCAAGACAGAGGATAGAAACAAGGATAGTGAGGATATGGCGCGGGTGCAGATTTATTTCTTAACTCGTAAGCACTGAAACCCTTACTGTTCTTTTCCCCAGGATGCTCTTCAGGAGTTACTGAGTCATTCGATAGCATCAAGCTAGCATAACCTTTTTCCTTTACTACTGCAATATTGCACGTTACATGTCCTCGTAGATAAACTTTCGACTTCTTAAAGTGACTGACAACCGAACAAAAAAAATTTAGAAGAAAAATCGAGGTAGAAGAGAAGAACACCGGGGTACTATATATGAGCCTATGGCATACCTGTCTAATATGATCCAACGTGTAATAAGGTTCTGTGATTCCTTGATTGCCAGTCTCGCTGGACAAAACCCAGCTGCAAGTTTAAGCAGCAAACTCACCTGTATATATACAGTACATCATAGATTTTTACCATTGTATTAGTACATATTCATAACATATGCAAACACTGACATGTAAAAAGATAAATATGTAGAAAAAACAGCAACCTCATTCTTTGAGCACTGACGATATAAAGGCTGAAGGATACTCCGGTATTCTTTTCTTTTTCGCTCAAATTCTTCTTCAAGCTCGACAGGATCCACTTCTTCGTGATCAACGAATTCTAAGGCCTCATCTGCAGAACATAAGCTGGTAAATATTAGGATATAAATAGTATTAATAAGCAAAGAAACCAACAGATATATAAGATGTATATACGTAGCACTGTAGCAGAACTGGGGGCAGCCAAGTTTCGAATTCCCCTCACCGTAACTTGGATTAAATTAATTAAAATATTGCCCGGCAAATAAAAACTTACATATTCCAGAGACGGCGCCGAGACCCATGAGCAACTTAACCGGAAAGCAAGAGTTCTTCTTGGCAGGGTGATCAGTGAAAACTCCTAAAATAAGTAAGACGTCACCAGGTTTAACGACATACTTGAGAGCCCATTCGACGGCTTCCACGCTTCCTGTAGTCCTATTTGCATCGACAGCCACTATCACAGTCCCTTTTTGGGATGACTGCAACTGCAAAGTCATCTCCCTCTCTCTTTTCGTTGAGTTTAGTTACTGTTTAGGCAGAGGTTTTGCTTGTGATCATCAGAGGGGCTTTTGGAGTTGCTCTAAATCTTTTTATCGTCTGATATTATATTTGGGTTGTTTGTTCCTGGCTTAGACGGTTCCGTCATCGAAGGAAAACCAAGCCGAACAAGGTTGGTTGACATTAGTTATTATCGTTGGCAATGAGGCTATCAGCATCAGCTTGTATTTTTTTTTTTTTTTTTTTTTCATTTTTTGGAATTTAATGAAAGGAATCTTTCTCTTGGCCGGTTGGCCCTATCTATTTTATTTGTTATAATAAGGCTGGTGCTCTTGTTTTTTTCTTGTCATGAGTTTCATTTGACACTTATCTCACTGCTAGCTACTAAAATCTTTGTATAATGCCCCTCACTTTTGTTAGAAGTTGGTATAGAATCCGAGAAGGGTTCCTAACTGGTGTGGGAGTTCTAATTGTAATAGGTATGGGAAACTTGGATGCAAGTTTCAGATAGGTTTAGGATTCCAACTCAGTTTAGGATTAGGTTTTTGAGTTAGTATAAAAGGGTCCTTAACGTTAAGGTACAAAAGTGTGGATATAGTGTGTAAGAGACTTATGAGACAAGAAAACTATTTGTATGTGTGAGTTTTCGTGTATTCCTTTATTCAATCAAAAGGTGTGCTTCCGTTGTTCATGTTTTCCTGTTATTGGTTTGGTTTGATCAAAGAGTAAGTTTCAACAAGTGGTATCAAGAGCCATAGGTTGCGTGGTCAAATCAACACGATGACAAAAACTGAAAGTGGAGATGATAGGGGTACCGAGGTAACCAAGACTTCGGTGCAAAGCGCTCGGTTTGAGATCGAGAAATTCATTGGGACAAATAACTTCGCTATGTGGCAGTGCGAAGTAAAGGATGTACTGATTCAACAAGGTTTACTGGTGGTGCTTGAAGACATGCCTATAACAATGAAGAAGGAGGAATGGCAGCGGCTGAATGCACATGCATGTTCCACGATTAGACTATGTCTTGGAAAAGCACAAAAATATGGTGTAATGAATATCTCATCAGCTAGAGAACTATGGGATACGTTGGAATCGAAGTACTTGAAGAAGAGTGCAGAAAACAGACTTTATCTTAAGAGTAAATTGTATTGTTTTCAGTACAAGGAAGGAACTAAGATGATTGACCATCTTGAAGAATTTAACAAGATGATTGCTGAACTTCTGAACCTAGAAGAGACGATCAAAGATGAAGATAAAGCGTTGATTCTGATGAATTCCCTACCTGAATCTTACGAGTCGTTTGTTACGACATGGATTTATGGTAGAGAAACTCTTAAGTTTGATGAAATCTCAAGCGCAGTGATGAATCATGAAGTCCGCAATTTAGACAGACAAGAGAGAAACAATTCCGAAGCACTAATGGTAAGAGGAAGATCAAAGGAAAGAAAACCAGCAACTAAGAAGAAAGGCAAGTCTCGTTCGAGATGTGCCTCAAGCAACAGAAAGTTTCTCGATAAAGATGAGTGCGCCTTCTGTCATGAGAAAGGGCACTGGAAAAAGGATTGTCCCAAAATCAAAGCCAAGAACAAAGAGAAGAAATATGAAGACTCAGAGGCAAACATTGTCGAGGCTAACAATGAAGATTTCGTCTGTGCCCTAACTGCATCAGACAGAATAAATTATATGAATCACTGGGTGCTTGATACTGGATGCACGCATCATATGACCTCTCAACATCATTGGTTTTCTTCGTTCAAGACCCTCACTGGAATGGTATATATGGGGGATGATAATCCATGTGCAACGAAAGGAATTGATAGTGTTAAAATCAGACACCATGATGGTGTAGTCCGAGAGCTACAAGGGGTGAGATATGTCCCAAATCTTAAGAAGAATTTAATCTTGCTTGGGACTCTTGAAGATCAAGGTTGTAAATTCTACACAGAAAAACAAACATTGAAGGTTGCAAGAGGAGCATTAGTGATAATGAAAGCGCCAAGAAGGGGTTTGCTTTATTTGTTAGAAGGCACCACTATTGAATCTTCGATGGCTATGGTAGCAGCAAGTGATCAATCAGATACATCTTGTCTATGGCATATGAGGCTAGGGCACGTGGGAAACAAGGCATTGCAAGGATTGATTAAACAAGGGGTCCTAGAGGGAGCCAAAAGTGGGAAGATCGATTTTTGTGAACATTGCATCCTTGGCAAACAAACCAAAGTAAGTTTTGGCACGGCAATACATCAAACGGAGGGAATCCTGGATTATGTACACTCAGATGTCTGGGGGCCTGCGAAGAATGAATCCCTAAGAGGAAAGAGATGGTTTGTATCCTTCATTGATGATTATTCACGAAGAGCATGGATTTATATGATGAAGCACAAACATGAGGTGCTGGATATTTTCTTAGAATAGAAAAACACAGTCGAAAGGAAGACTGGAAAAAAATTGAAAGTCTTAAGAAGTGATAATGGGGGAGAGTATACGTCTGATCCCTTCTTTGAAACTTGCAAAAATGAAGGTATAACACGACATTTCAGTGTTAGAGAAACTCCTCAGCAGAACGGAATTGCAGAACGGTTGAATCGAACACTATTAGAAAAGGTCAGATGTATGCTATCACAAGCAAAACTGCATAAACGTTTTTGGGCAGAGGCATTGAGTTATGCATGTCACATTCTAAATCGTCTTCCTTCTTCAGCCTTAAACGGAAAGACTCCAATGGAAGTATGGTCAAGACAAATTGCTCAAGATTATGACAGACTAAGGGTATTCGGGTGTGATGCGTATTACCATGTGAAAGAAAATAAATTAGACCCGAGAGCAAGGAAGGCTATCTTTCTAGGGTTTAACAGTGGCGTCAAGGGATTCAGATTGTGGAGTACAGAACTCAAGAAGGTTGTAATAAGCAGAAATGTGACGTTTAATGAAACCCATATGCAACTAAGAGAAGATCGAAAGATTGTGCAAGAGGTGGAGCTAGCAAAGGAACAAACTGAACATTCAAGAGATGAAGACAAACACGACAATAAGGGTCAAATTAGTGTCGATCAAGAAGAAAAGCAAGAAGAGGACAGTATGATTAATGATGTACCAGATCAAGAAGATTGTATCGCCAAGAGAAAAGGAAAAAGAGAGGTTGGGCTTCCTGCTAAATTCAAAGATTGCGTCTCCTGTATAGCCTACGCATTGCCAGTAATCGAAGTAGACATCCCTACAGATTTCACATAAGCATCAAGGAGTAAAGAAGCTAAAAATTGGCATGAAGCTATGGATGATGAGATGTTGTCACTAAAGAAGAACAAAACTTGGGATCTGGTGGAGCTACCTAAGGGAAGAAAGGCCATTGGATGCAAATGGGTGTATGCAAAGAAAGATGGAATAAATAATGCAAGTTCAGTAAGGTTTAAAGCCAGATTAGTAGCAAAAGGCTACGCTCAGAAAGAGGGAATAGATTACAATGAAATCTTCTCTCCCGTGGTGAAACATTCATCCATTCGAATCCTCCTAGCACTGGTGGCACAGTTCGATCTCGAATTAGTACAATTGGACGTAAAAACTGCGTTTCTGCATGGAAATTTGTCTGAAGAAATTTACATATGTCAACCAGAAGGATACGAAGAGAAAGGAAAGGAGAATCTAGTATGCAAGCTCAACAAATCTCTATATGGTTTGAAGCAATCACCGAGGCAATGGTACTTGAGGTTCGACAAGGTTATGAAGGATTTTGGCTACACTAGGAGCCAATACGATCACTGTGTATATCACAAGAAAACAAGGGAAGGTACATATGTATATATACTGATTTATGTAGATGATATGCTCATTGCCTCTAGTGATCAAACAGAAATCTCAAAACTCAAAACTCAGATGCAAAATGAGTTTGAGATGAAAGACCTTGGCGAAGCAAAGAAAATTTTGGGGATGGAAATCACACGAGATAGAAAGAAAGGGCTGGTATGTTTATCACAGAAACAGTATGTGGAAAAATTGCTACACAAGTTTGGCATCCGTGATGAAACCAAACCTGTAAGTACACCTCTGGCCTCTCACTTCAAGATGAGCACGCAGTTATGCCCTAAGTCTGATGAAGAAAGGACTAAGATGAAGGACATTCCTTATTCTAGTTTGGTTGGAGGGTTGATGTATGCCATGGTGTGTACTCGACCTGATATTGCTCATGCAGTTGGATTAGTAAGTAGATTTATGCATAATCCTGGAAAAATGCATTGGGAAGCTGCTTGATGGATACTGCGATATTTGCATGGAACAAGGAGCACGGGAATTTGTTTTGAGCGGAATGATAAAGGAATTGAGAAGTTCTCTATTGGATATGTAGATTCTGATTTTGCTAGTGACTTAGACAAAAGAAGATCTACCACAGGATATGTGTTTACCATGGCGAATGGTCCTATATGTTGGAGATCAATTCTACAACCAACTGTTGCTTTATCAACTACAGAAGCTGAATATATGGCAATGGCAGAAGCAATTAAGGAAGCTATTTGGACACTGGGATTAATAGCAGATTTGGGAGTTAAACAGCGCAAGATAGATGTGCATTGTGATAGTCAAAGTGCTATTTACTTGGCGAAGTATCAAGTGCATCATGCAAGAACCAAACATATAGATGTAAGATATCATTTTGTTCGGGAGATTATAGCTGAAGGCGAGATTCTTGTAAAGAAAATTGCTTCAGCTGATAATCCTGCAGATATGTTAACAAAGGTGGTTGGTGCATCAAAATTCAGTCATTGTCTGGGTTTGGTGCATGTAAGACAAGTTTGATACTTGAAAATGGTGGAGCGATGGAAGCAGAAGAAGTCTCGAGGCGGAGTTCTTACCAAGGTGGAGTTTGTTAGAAGTTGGTATAGAATCCGAGAAGGGTTCCTAACTGGTGTGGGAGTTCTAATTGTAATAGGTATGGGAAACTTGGACGCAAGTTTCATATAGGTTTAAGATTCCAACTCAGTTTAGGATTAGGTTTTTGAGTTAGTATAAAAGGGTCCTTAACGTTAGGGTACAAAAGTGTGGATATAGTGTGTAAGAGACTTATGAGACAAGAAAACTATTTGTATGTGTGAGTTTTCGTGTATTCCTTTATTCAATCAAAAGGTGTGCTTCCGTTGTTCATGTTTTCCTGTTATTGGTTTGGTTTGATCAAAGAGTAAGTTTCAACAACTTTCACTACAATACATTGTTTAGTAAGTATGAGAAATCACTTCCCCATGATAACATGACACCATACTGATAAAGGTTGTCTGGAAGAATTTATCGTGGAAGTATTTGCTCACCACTCCACTGATTGTGAATAAGTTTGATTTAAAGGGAGATTTTGGATATGGTCCTTAGTTATCAATGTTTTTTATTGAAATCTTGTTGATTTTTCAGTTTTTTTATCAAAGTCC